GAAAAGAGATCCCTGCCTTGGTGGCGGCCCCGGCGTTAGCTGTCGAAAGAAAAGACGCGAGCAGGCCGTACCGGACGAGACAATGAAAAGAGATCCCTGCCTTGGTGGCGGCCCCGGCGTTATCTGTTAAATTCTGTTCAGCTTCTGTTAAACTTAAAATTTAAAGTTAACATTAATTTTTAACTACATAATTTAAATAAATGTCAAATTTTGTTTTAATGGCAAATAAAAAGCTGATCTTTAAATTCTCAGTATTGCTTTTTTCCCGTAGTCTAGTATTTCATCACGMACTACTTCACATTCACATCATCTCCAAAGCTYGAAAAATTTGCCTGATTTCATACCGTGAGAGGCAGGACATAAGTCACTTAAATAGTACAATGACTGTAAACCAATGCTAGAATTATTGAAGAAATGTATAGAATGCCGGACGCTGCGTTCGGATTTTTCAAAAATTCCCATATATTTCTTTGTAAGAACTAGAATCATGTAGAATTGTTGAAAACGGTGTCAATCGTTCACATTTGATCTGCGTACCACGGTAWGAAACTCAGGCAATGAAAGTTCYTTTCAAATAAAAAGACGACGAAAAATAACTCCGGGCATTGAAATTTCGTTTCTCTTTATTTCTCTCAGCTTAAAGTTATATCAAACTACAAATATTTTTGGAAATTATGTCACTTTAATTTCTTTAAAAAAGTTATTTTTCCTCGAAGGATTGGTATTTCACGTTATACTTCACATTCATAAACATCACAAATTGTAAGGATTTTTAGATCCTTACCAGAAATAGGGTCCGCTTCTTCAGAAAATTGTGTTAATATTGAATGATRAAAACAATACGTAAGTTTACGTCTCGGGCATTATTTGCGTCTCTCGGGCGACTATTTGTTTCTCGGAACATCCAGTTCCCGCGTGCAGCTATCATAACATAATGCCCTCGATTCAACTACTCTATTCTTTAAATGTTTTTGACTAATTCTTTCGTCAGCTGAGTTTCTAAAGCTTCTTTTTCTTCGTGATTATAAAAATCAAGAAACATTTGACTCCGTAAAGCTTTGGGAAGACATTTCTTCTCAATCTCATCGACTCTTATAGCAATCAGAGAAGAATCCTTCATTTGTGTATTCCTACCCAGTGCAATATCCAGCTCTCCACGGCAGAAAGTACTTGACATGTAATTTTTAGATAATACAGCAAGGATGTGCCTGCTTTTGTACACGCTATCTGCCATGTTTTCTACTATTGTCTTTCCTGGTTCAAAGTCTCTGTGATGAATGCAGTAGTTAAGATTATGTTTCTCAATGAGAGGTAGCAGTTCAGATTTGACCCAATGAAAGTCTTTGCTGCTGAACGTAATGAACACATCGTACTGGTAGCCTTCACMATTGTCTTCAGAGACTGAATAGAAAGAAACATCAAAACTTAGTTGATATACAAACTACGTAGAGTTACATTTATGGATTTAGTAAGAAYCAGAAGCGCTTCCAGAAGAATGTTAGACTGCCTTGGATAGTATCAGTGCGATTTATGTTAGAGAATTCATCATAATACCTCTTACCCCAATAATCGGAATTTTTTGCCTTTTTTCTCCTGACAAGAAGTCCAATAATGAACCCCGTCATGCAAACTACAGTACAGACCAGGAATATTGGTAGAGTTGTGTACCACACTGTTGAGACTGGTTTCGATGGTGGTGAGTAGGATTGATGAAGTTTAGAAATCAAGTCTAAAAGTACGAATTTAAGTACTGAAATAAATCGAGTGCTAGTGTGTTGAAAAAGCGTGCATGCATTGCAGCGCTAAATGCTTTTAAACGCAGCATTGAAGTTGATCTCAATGAAAAAATCATGATCTGTCATATGTCATATGTCAATCGGTCGGGATCCCTGTGCATTTTAGTTTGGATTTCCTTAGCAAACAATGGAAACAATACAAAATGGCCGATTACTCAAAATTGTTTTCGCTATAATATCTGCAAGGTTCAGCCGATTTCAAACTCTAAAAGTCGAGAAAATCGCAAAAAAATACGTACTTACAAATAAGGTAAGATTACCAAATATCGCTGCTAAACGAAGGRCAATTTCTGAGGCAATTCTTTGATATGAAGTGTTTTTATTGCATCTCAAATAATACTTGTCAACTTTTTTTATGCGATTGGTGTTTTACCTTCTGATCCAGAGAGGTGAAGGCAAACAAATGAGCTGTTCCATCCATAAGATGTGTTTACATAGCATCCATAACAACCAAGATGTTGTTTGGAAACGTTTCGCATCATAAGTGAGTATTCCACCGTCCCTTCGTTAGTCGTTCTTGTTTTTATCTTTTGATGTTCAGACGAAAGGATAATCGTCTTGGTGTCGTTTTTAAACCAAAGAAGTTGAGCTTTTGAGGTGTCCACATGTCTAAACGTACAGGAAATAGTCGCTGGCCAACCGAGGTTGGTTTGAACGTGGTGTGTCAAAGTGGAGACAATAGGTGGACCTGAGAGAAACAAAAAAGAGAGCAAACACACGGAAAACAAAGCAAAACTAAAACAASAACAAACACTTTAAGGTAAATAGAATAACAAAAAAGTAGATAACAAGAATCAAACGATGCAAAAGCGCGTTTGAAGCGGATAGAGCTGCGACACGCAGATRAGCTATGGGGGAACTTAGGCTACGTTCACACGGGGCCGWTTCCGTTCGGAACCGTTCTAGTTTAGGCGCGCGTTCACATTGGAACTCTGGAACTGGCCTCATCTGAGGCTGGAAAAGTGTTCARGTTTGGGGCTGGCTAAAAATCAGTTCCACTTTGCGGACAGGTCACTTCGAAGCATGAACGGATCCGTGTGAACACTGCTTCCGTACCGAAATGTGGACGGTTCCGTATCAACAGTGGAAACTGTCCTAAAACCGAGGTGTCCTCAAACTTGACCGGCCCCGTGTGAACGTAGTCTTAAACAGTGGTGAACGTATTTAGAATTAGTTACCATTCTTTTTCACTTCCAGTTTGATCACTTGCGCGTCATTCCCTCGGTCAGTCTGAACTGCGCATGTGTAGTTCCCGGCGTGTTCAGCTGTCACACTATGAATCGTGTACCAGAAATCCACCTCGTTGATATTTGGAAAACGACGTGACTCTACATCAACGTGAAGACGTTCGCCATTGTGTTCCCAGTAGACAACGGTGTACTTATCCAAAACATTCAAACCTTTACATCGCAAAGTCAATCTTTGACTTACATAAGCAATCACGTGATCGTAAGGCACAGTCACTTTTACGGCGGGCCTGGGTTTTTCTACAAGAAAAGGTTGAGTCACAGTTAGTTCGTATACTGATTGTATGATTTCTCCACCTGGATGCTCTGCAGTGAAAGTATTTATTCGATACGATTCTTAATTTACCACACGCACTCAGTCGCCTTTTCTGAGCACTCGCGCAACTACGACAACAACATCAACAACAACAACACCAGCAGAAACAATAACAACACCAGCGACAACAACAGTAACAGCAACAACACCAACAACATCAGCAACAACAACAGCAACAACAAAAGCAGCAGCAATAACAACAACAATAAGGCGGCAACGACAACAACAACAAGAACAGCAGCAATAACAAGAGCAGCATCAGCAGCAACAACAGCAACATCTGCAGTGAAAGTATTTATTCGATACGATTCTTAATTTACCACACGCACTCAGTCGCCTTTTCTGAGCACTCGCGCAACTACGACAACAACATCAACAACAACAACACCAGCAGAAACAATAACAACACCAGCAGAAACAATAACAACACCAGCGACAACAACAGTAACAGCAACAACACCAACAACATCAGCAACAACAACAGCAACAACAAAAGCAGCAGCAATAACAACAACAATAAGGCGGCAACGACAACAACAACAAGAACAGCAGCAATAACAAGAGCAGCATCAGCAGCAACAACAACAACAAAAATCGAGAAAACGGCGCTATTAGAATATGAACATGATTTGAGGGTTTTTTTTATACTATTTGTTCGTCTTTACCTTGCATGGATACATGAAGCAGAAGTGTCCTGTTATCTGTACCTATAGAGTTGTTTGCATAGCATAGATAAAAACCATTATCCTCCTTCCGTACAAACACGATATGAAGATACACGCCAAAATTAGTTACAAAGGAATTGCTCAGTTCACTGTTACTCCCCTCTTTTCGCCAGAATACAGTTGGCTTTGGCCATCCTTCAGCGCTACATGTAGTCACAATGCTGTTTCCTACATTGCTTTCTATATACATTTGCTTTGGACTTGTGATCCGTGGCTTGGCTGTGGGTTAAACACAGTACTAGTAAGTATAGTCAAGATTGAGAGATTTAGATGCACTGGTYATGTAATGGCAACTGTTTTGGRAGCAGGAGTACTGACCGTTTTAAGCGTTACTCCCGCACAAGAAAAGTAGTTTTGACATATAATGTCGATAGTACAAGCTCGCTATCATTGCAAGGTGTTCTCCCTGTTTATCAAACAGGGCCAGCGTGCGCGCGCGTAAATTTTGTAAGAGGCTAAATATTTAGGTTCAGTTTTCTCTTCTCCTTCTCTCTGCTTTCTGGTAAAACCATAATCTTAACTCTAAGCTTCTTTTATTGTGTTATCAACCTTTAGCCTCCAACTGATATCAAAGGGAGTTCTCWGGAACTATGGGTGCGGTTTACCTAACATTTTTGAGAAATTCAATTTAAATTATCGTTATTTCAAAATTCTTATATCTTTTCATTTAATGTATAAATATGCTCAGCTGGTCTGTTTGTGAAATATTCTGGTGGTCTTCAGCAGAAGGTTATACCCCACGGATACTATCTGGACGTCTGCGTGCACTCTTGAACATATTTAGCAATTTGAAATGCGAGAACTGAGTTCTAGTTGAAAATGAAAATAAATATGTGATACACCAAGTACTTCTTCGTCCTAATGCGGTGTCAGTCAGTGACCATTAGGTGGTTTTAGTCCAGCAGTTTTTCCGATTAAGCTTTTCCTATTAATAGTTCGGACTAATTATCGTTGTTTAACCTTCATTATGGAGAGTTATACGATCCGATTACTATTTTCGTTTGAGCTTCTAGTTCAGGTTCAAAACAACTGAATCACGTTCTCGCAGAATAACGTTCAATCGGACCTTGTCGTTGCTTCTCTCAGGGTTTTTCACATGAATTATTCCCCTAAGAGTGAAAAGCAAAATGCAAAACGCGCCGTATAATGTGGTTTCAATCGATTCACTTTTAAAAGATTTAAAATTTTTGCTGTTCAGTTGAATTCTTGTTACCAAGTTGCTTGTTAATTTGTTTTTAAAACGAAAAACTTTCTGAATTTCACTAAAATGCTGCGCGTTGTTTCCTTTTGTCCATTGCTCATTATGCAATTATTTTGTTATCTTCGATTTCTTTCATTGTAGAAATACCTTTATCAGTCTTTTCGATGTATTTAGCTAGCGTTGCGGTTTTAACTTACCGAAAATATGAACTGTCACCCAGTCTTCATCTGTTGTTCCATCTTTGCTGACTATACACCTGTACTCGCCATCGTCTCGACCACTGATATTGTCAAGCTTAAGTCCTTCCCACGTTAACAAACGGCGGCCATCTTGCCCGAAAGGAGAAACAAGCTTCACGTTGCTCAATACGTGACCATCTTTCTTCCAAAAGAAACGATCTACCGTTCCACCAAATACTGTGCAGTTTAGCAAAACATCAGTGCCAGGCCACACTCCTTCAGTGATGTTAGAAGGGGCTTTGAGTCTACAGAGCTGCGAGTCAACGCATGTAACGACTACAAAAAAGATCAGTGCAGTTGTTATCATTGTCAAAATGTACGAGCGAATACATCAGCAATACGCCTAGCAAGCCAATTTAGGAATTGAAATCAGCTTTGTTTTCCTGCCGTGATTATTTTTACGTTTTTTGGAAACAATGTTAGTCGGCACTGTTTGAAACTTTAATTACAAGAGGGCTCCTAGTGGTAAACCTCACTGTAATATGGTATGCATATTTCTCATACATCAACCGAGGAGCGAATTCAATTAGACCACCACTACAGAACAGAAAGAAAAGGTTAATTTCGAATTTGATTTTTTTGTTTTCTTTTGGTAATGATATCCGCATGTAAATCAGAGAACTTAATGCCTAATCAAGTCGCCATTATAGAGGTAGTCCGTGACAGCTTTATCTAATTAGGAACTATGATAGATTCTTTATTGTCAATATTTTCTATTTTGAGGCTTTGAGTTTGCGCACACTTTGTATTTGCCAGGCGCTGTCTTTGACTTTTTGAAAAAAATCAGATAGTGAGCTATCATTGCAACGACAAACGACTGCTTAAACCTAGGCGGGCCAGGCCACAACAGCGTGTTTGAATGATTGCGAGGAATTTACGTTGCTCTCAAAAGATGGATAGCCGCAACAAAAATAATGACGGCGTCTGTGGACTCTTGGATAAAAAAAAACAAGGGTGTGATATGTACACCGCCATGTTGGACGAATAAAAACAAACAAACAGGATGAACAGGACGATGATCTTGTAATCAAACATGGCGACTATGAGCGTCTATGAACAAGCCGCCTGAAGAGGTTAAACTAAGCAGTGTAAAGGTCAGTTCATSCATAACCCAAAGTAACTAAATGAGAATGATACACTGAACTGTAATTTGTGTGGAGGATTTGAGCATTAATGCTGAATATTACTATTTACTGAAGCCTTTTTAAAGGCGGTCATGTTTACAGGAGTCGTTTYGTATAAATATTAATTGTCGTTGTGCACAGGTGTGTATTTCTGMATGTAGTGCATGTAAGCACGTCCGGCTTTTTTCAGCCGTTTTTGTCTTCTTTCATTAAATGAGCTCGCCAAAGGAAGCCCGCCCTTGTGGAGAGTCGAAAGTGGTTCGCGGTGTCTGCACATTGCGAGTATAACTTTGAAAGAGATTTATGAAGAGCTTTTAAATCGGTTAAAAAGTTGATACAGACTGAAAGGCGTTTTTCATAACCTAATCTACTTTTAAAAAGGTTCACATTTAAGGCTAGCCGTTGTTTTTCAATCAGGAGTGTTTTCTAATAAATATCGTATATCCGAYCATGACTCGGTAACATGAGTAGGCAGAGGCTCGAACCCTCGCACAATGAGTCATGATTTTTTAATCAGTTTACGCCGGTAAACTGTGATACGCTTTGAGCTCCTAATAACTGGATAACATGATGTAAGACACAAAGCACCAAAAAATACACTGTGATTTTAGCGATGATTCTATAGTACCTTCGCTGAATTGCATGTCGAACATACTTAATTCAATCTGCGCATTTGAATTTTTCTCACTTTTTCCCCTTTATTGCCTTAAGTAGTTTCATTCTCTCTGTTTCTTTCTCTCTTTTTCTCCGAGTATGTCAATCACTGTCTTTCACCGAGTCTCATTTCAGTTTCTTGGTCTTATTTGTCTTTTTCGTTGCAGYGATGTACTGCTTCGYCTGTTAACCCGTGACTGCTGTGTTATAAAGCAAATTTGATATTGCTAAAAGAGCATATTTAAAATGCCTATTGAAACCGGCTAAATACTCTATGAGTCGAACAACTACCAGTCTAAACAACTAGAAATATTATCTCTTGATCCCAGTCATTTCACTTGAACTGAATTTCGTCTGCGTCATTAGAACAGAGTGAGTCTTTCTTGGAAAACAATCCTATTTCAGTCTAAGTGGTCGAACTCTACGTAATGCACAACTAAACGTGATAAGCAAAAACGTCTCCATAAAATCGGTAATTTAAAAGCATAACAAAAACACTGAACATTCATATAAGATTACCATTCTGTATTTCCTATCCCCCAATACTCCTCCTACCAAAACTAACTCACCTGCGCGAAGTCATTTAATGAATTCCTAAACCTGATTGGTAGAGATATTTCGAGTAACCATGGTCACTGACCAATTGACAGAAGTTACCATTTGAACAATACTCGCCACAAGGGTTAGTCTTCATGTAGCGCCGAAAATTCGTCGTATATTCATCAGGCCATTCATCGTATATTTTGATAAGCCGGATAATACTTAGGAATAATAAATAAAACTAATTGTTCTCGATACCTTAAGTAACGGAAATTAAGCCGAGCCTCAAACTTTTAGTGCTATATACAACTTTTTATTATTATATAAGATTGGAAAGCGTAACTGGATATTTTCGATCTACAAAAGAATTATGAGAGTTAGATAATCTTTCGTCAACAACCGAGAAGCAGGCTTGAGTGACATGCGGCGATTGTATATTTCTCATAGGAGCATTGTATACCTGATGCGTTTTCGATGCGTTCTCGYAATGTTTTTTCATCTCGTGCAGAACGGTACAAAAACGTTACGGAAACGCATCAATTTGGCGTAAACAAGGCCTTATATTTGCGAGTCTATAATCCAAAGAAAAGTGCAGGCAAATATTCAATATTAGAATGTTTTATGCAAGATATCTATGATCTATGGAATGCTTTGAACTGATTTAATTGCCATAGTTTTTTTTTTTTTTAAGTATCAGCTCTTTTCGCGGTGAGCATCGGGGCGGCTTTGAAAGTTTCATTATGTTAACAAATTTTCAATTATTCAAAAATTTCGTCTCTTTAAAAAAAAAAACTTATAGCAATGCCTTTTATTTTATATAAGACAAGTTGTATACACATTTTAAGCTGACCTTACGATTTGACGTTTATCAAAAATAACAAGCGATGTATGATTTTCTTTACCACAAAATTCAATTTTCTAAAATGTTGAGTATAATCAGTATAAAAATTTAAATACGAAAATAATGGGGTAAAAATACATTGATATTTTGACGCTTGCGTTTGGTACTCACCGCAAAGGAAGACAATTACTACCAGCATATTGAGCTACGAGCGTAGCAGAGAATGGCAAGTGTCTGAGGAACGGAGCTTCCCATATGAGGTCTTATTAACAAAATTGAGTGAAGGACACGAGGAGTAAAAATGGCAATTATACTCCTACGAGTCAACCGCCAACACAAAGACACGGATATCAGGTGCAATACTCAATCAACTGTACAGTGCTTTCTCCACTTAAACTGATATCCAGACATTTTCATCAATTTATGTGAAAAACGAGTGGATTAACTCTTTTAAAATAATTAAAAACGGTTAATAAACTATACTTTACAGAGTTCATGCTAGTCAACATGAATTGGTTTTAGATCTATTGGATCTGCAAGTTGGCTTATAAAACGCCAAATTTCAACCGAACAACGTCCACTCGCGCGCCTATGCAAGCTTGTGAAACGTGTTCACGTAGAATTGTTTATAATATGCAAAAAAAGACAGTGTGTCTACAAACTGTATTTGAAATACTGAATGTAATGGTAATGATCATCTAAAGCATTCTTATTTATCATAATTAAGTGGAGGACGTTAAATAGCGGTTTTTAAGAGTGTCTATAACGATATTAAACTCCTACATCTCAAGATATAGTCCCCTGGATAGTAAACTGCACGGTGGGCATATCCACCCACCTGGAAATCAATAAGAATGTTCATTTAAAAAAACGCCAATAAATAAAGTATGTGTTTTATTAGCACATTTGAAGGAAATTATGCGCCCTCAAAGAAATTAAAAACACAGTGGAAAGATTTTAACGGCCCCGTCCACACAGATAAGCTTGGTAATGATTTGCAATAGGGTCTAGCAAACAATTGTTTACAAATTGCTGACGGTGTGGGGACAAGAACTCTGATCTAAAGATAGTGTTTTTGAAATGTTAAAGTAACAATAACATTTGTAGACATTATTTACTAGTTACAAACTTCTTATAAATATTGAATAAATCCCTAAATGTAGCGATCCAAAATTTAAAAGAACATTCCTTGTTGTAGATCCACATTGATCCGATCGATATCATTGAAGTCAAATGCTGAAAAATACATTCTCCCCAGTATTAATTATATGAAACTATATCTTCCTAATGGAAGAGTAGATGGTGAGTAGTTGGGTGTCTGTATTTTATCCTCAAGCACTGTTGTGATACATTCAAATCGTTTTTTCCTGCAGATAGCTTTTATTACCAAAACAAAATAACAAGGTAGTGCTTTTAACATTTCTCATGAGTTTTCCCATTGACTGGGACCCACTATACCCGGAGCTAACATCTGTAACGATTTTGATTAGAATTTACAAAWATCAGCAAGAAAAAGGGGAAAACACTTTTTCGTGTGGAGACCATTTTTAAAACAGGAAACTTGCTCGAGATGTTTTGTGAAAGTGAAAGTACCGACAACGGAATACAACTTAGAGCTTKAAAGAGAGTAGAAAATATTTGAATATTAAAAACCGTTGTTGACAAATTTAGATTAAGCAAAGACGTTTGTCTTTTCAGGAAGGGAGTGTTTTTGTTTGCCGGGTGTCGTGGCGACTGTATGCTCAGGGCAATATAACCAAAATAACATGGCTTTCAATAGCTTGTATGAACTCTAAAAATATATTAGTAATGAAAATTGTTTTGAAACAGAGGAAATAATATAAAATTCACAATAACAAATAACAAATAACAAACTCTCTTGTGAATGAACAATGTACTGGGTTTCGCTTTGCATTGCACCCGTTGGCCTGCTTTGCTTTGAATCATCCTTGATTAACTTTGTTATTCTTTTCATTTTTTTGTGTGTAGAAATTCTTTCTTTCTTGCCTTTTTGATTCATTTTCATTAGAAAAGCTGATAAAAATAGGTTTTGTCCTTTGATGCAAGTCGACACAGTAAACAAAGTTTCTATTTTCTTAACAAAACCTTTTGATGATATTATTTCGAGATCAATAGAGATCATAAAAGAACACTGATCCCATTTTTCATGTTTGAATGCTAAAATCTCCCAGGCAGTGTTAGATAATAACCTTGAAACTAATATCAAAGATGACCATGAACACGCACTTGGAGTATTGTCATATAAACTC